ATTTTGATAAAGAAAAAAAAGCCAGTTTCCTTCCATTCATTCAACATCTTATTTCATTTTATTCCCAAAAGATTGCTGTTAAATCAAAACCAACTAGTTACCTAAAGAAGTCTCATGTTATTCTTTGTTACTTGAAAACCTTATAAACTAAAACCTTGTCCACCAGCACTTGGAGAACTCTTGAAAGCTAAAACTGCACAGTCCCTATAAGAAAGACACTGGAAGTTATCCATCACGTCAGTATATCTCACCAGAGAAAAGGGAAATGAAATGTTACAGGATGGAAATGTAATTTAATAGCTGAATGAACATTTGATCGGCTTATTTCATCCCAAAGAAGAAAAGGGGAGAGTGGGGGCGACCCAGGTGGTTAAATTGTAATACAGTAGAAATTCTATCACCCATGAAAACTGTAATTGGGATTCCACTTTTGGTTTGACCGACCCAGAAACAGATGTGTGTTTCAATGAGAATCCCAGGCTTTACCTCCTCAAGAAATGCTATTCAGACTCAAAACAGGGCTTTCAACTAGCCTATACTCCGAAGAAATAACTGGACTAAATTGGCTGTAATTGTCCCAACTGTTTAGAATTCCCATGTTGGTTTGGGGCTAGATGTGTGGTTCTCATTGCATGACCTCGAAGAGGAAGACACCGTCATTGCTTCCACTTCTGCTCTTGTGGGAGAGGGAGGGATACTACAAAAATGGGAGAAAATGTCTTTGTCAAGCTGAAATCCAAAGATATGAGCAGAGGTATCTTAGCCATGGGGCGATTCCTTAGTGAGTGGGACATGATAGAGAGAGCAGTGTTGAGGTGAAGGCTTAATTTGTACAGAATTCTCTCCCAATAAGAGAAAGGAATCAAATGTTTCTCATTATACGGCCTGTCTGGGTGCACAAGCCTTTCAACTGAGCTCTTCCAATGCATTCTGGCAAGACTCTAAATTCGTATCATCCACATAACATGGAGCAGGTAGCATTTCTTTTGAAAAGGAACCCTGGCCCATGTAATTCTAGCTAGAGAAGCTGGTGCCAGGAAATTGACAGCGAACTATATCCAGAGACCACAGTTAAATTCAATAAATCTCCATCTTTTTACAGGAGTCAAGAACAAGCAAGGGGAAATGCAGTTGTCAGGGAGTGAGGGTCACCAGCAGCAGCCTTGTTCTTCATGGGTCCCAGTGAACTGAAACTGGAGGTGAATGGATTGAATCTGACAATACTGGGTATTTCCTTCACCTTGATTTGTATCAGCGTTTCTTCAGTGTCTCTCCCCTTCTTTACTGGCCCAAAGAGATCCGAGTGCGCGCGCGCACACACACACACACACACACACACACACACACACACACACACGACTAGGAAAATCTAATTCATCAACTCCTTCCCTGATCTGAAGGAGTCAGATTACCTTCCTGAAGAACAAAGCTCCTTGTCTCTTGTCCCTGTTCCTTTCCCACTGAGTTTGCTGTCCCTCCCACCTTGCTACAAAGGAGCCACTTCCCCCAGGGAAGTTATTATAATCCATTCTAAGTACTTCCTCCAGCAAACAACCAAATGAATCTTGTCTTTAGTCACTGGAATCATGAAGCTGGCCCTCTTTACAAACACAGTGTTTTTAATAAACACTTGCTGATATGCATGCATTGGAGAGAACAAAATGAATACTGCAGGGCTGAAGCCACTGGTGTGCACCGAGCAGATAGTCTCCCATGACTGTGTGTACTACACAGCTCTTCACTGGGTACTTGAGAAAGCAAATACAAGTCCTCTGCTGAAAGAAGGGCATACAGATGGTAAGAGCATTCACCTATAAGAACAGACATGAGACTACAAGGCAATTTTGAGTTTCCATTGTGATGACTCTACTGTATATTACTCCCATTCTTTCAAAACCACCAGAGGACCATCTGAGTGATTCTATGTCTTTCTTTGTATAGTTTTCTTTTTGATACGTCTCTCTTATTTTTCCAGTTATTCTTAAAGTATAAATCAGGTGGTGGCCCAGAGACAGTCTCTGGGTGGTGATTCTCTCTCCAATTATTCTGCCCTTTGTGGTGCTCTAAAATTGTGTTATGAGTCTGCAATTCCTCTATAGCTCTAGATGAACAGAGAACAGAATGTCATCTTTTAAATTCAATTTAAATTCTGGATCTCCCACCAGTCTTAGAAAAAATTCCCCTACCCCCTTTAACAGCTAAACAAATTGCTTGCCTCCAGAGAAGGCAAGCAAAGGCAATGGCGGTCTGCTTAAAGATGGCTCCTGCAGGCATTACCATAGTGGAAGGGTGTGTCTCACAAATGGGACTCCCGTGGCTAAGGGAGGCTATAGTCCTCTCTCAGCCTCAGAGGAGCAGAAATTTAAGTCAAGTTCACAGGGACTCTTCACAGCCCCAGACTCAGAACAGTTTATCCCTCAGTCTCTAACATAAAAAGCCAAAGCATATAATGCATCCCTGATATTCTGCATCCCCCTCCACATTCCTCTATAGCACTAGATGTACAGAGAGCTCCAGAGCCCAGAATGCTCAAAGATTTACTTTCATCACCAGGTATCAAAAACAATGGGAAATAGATCGGAGACGTATTTCTCTTTGCAGGTGAGACTTAAAAAAAAACATAATAATAATGTCTCCTCTCATTCTGAACTGGATTTCAGGAGTCTCCTAGCCTTTATCCCTGAGCAGCCTACGTACAGTCTTGAATGCAAGGAACAAGAGAAGATGAAAATCAGAAGTTGGAGACTGTAATATAGTAGTATACAGACTGTACTATAGATATAGTATATATGTGTAGTGTATATAGTATAAGTACCTATCATATTTACAGAAAGGGTTGCAATGCCTTTACTGGTCTAAGTAAGCCAGTCCCCCTCCAGGAAGGAAGGAACATCCCTGGAGCTTGATGCCCAGGTTGAGTAAGCTGCTCTCATCTGAGTGCCTCAAGGTTAGCTGAAGTCACAGGAGCCCTGCTACTTTTTTCACACTTCCTTCCTAACTCTCCTTAAGACCCACTTCTCTGCAAGATCTACTGGCATGTGGAAAGCTGGCCAGACTGTCTCAGAGTTCAATTCCCAATCCCGACTCTTAGATGAGATGAGATACTTTCATTCATTTCTATCCCCAAACTCTTTCTTCACAACTTGCTGTGTGATCCAGAAGAGGTTAATTCATTATTCCTATCTGTAAAATGGGACTTTTTAAAGTCCCGAGACTTTAAACCCTGGAAAGTCTCTATGTAAAGAAAGTAAGTACTGTTTATGACTAATAACTTCAACAAGTGCTATTTTTTAAATGCAGTGAACATTATTTCTCACTGGTCCTATGTATGGGAACAGAGCAGACAGCTGCAGTAGACAGTGCCACTTACAAGCAATAACTCAACTCCAAAGTCTCTTCTCTGGGTTTCAGAAAGCCAAACACCAAGGGGGAAAAATCAGCCAGAAACTCCTTTGTACTTTAAAAGCAATTGGTTGTTTGGTAACCTGAGATACTTTTCTTCAGCTTTTAGAATGCTAGAAAAAGCCCTCCATTGTTCCCTTTTGCCTTTTAAATTTTCCTTTCATTTTAGGATGGCTTCTGCACTTGGCTTTACTTAGCTTTCCCCTCTGGTCGCAAAGCTGAGCTGGCACTTCCTGGACCATGCTGGTCCTGAGGAGGGTTAGGAGCACCGATCTGCTGTAGCCACTGACAAATGCCCCCATGCAGGTCACTTTCTTTTTCAGCATCTGCCTAAGCAGAGCAGTGGGTACCCAAGAAAATCAAGAACACATCCTCTGACAGTGTGCATCCTGGGTGGAGAAATGGAGGAACTCCAGGGTAAACACTGAACACCGCAGAGAACACAGACTTTTTCCTTCACCAAGCTGGCGAGTTTCAGACTTTCCTTTATTCAAGGTGGCCATGTTTAACAGGTGAAGTCAAACTCTCACCAGTAATATGTTTGTGACTACAAAAATTGAATTATACTCAGAGTCCCACCACCAGTGCGCCTGACCTTGAAATCAGTTAACAGCCCTCTTGCCTAGCTCCAGAAGATGCCTCCTGGGTTCCTGGGTTTTTATCCACCCCAATTCCTTGCAAATCAGAAGCCAGAATGAACCTCAGCACCCTGAAGCAGTTTGTTCTTCAAACTAACAAAATTAATTTGTACTGAGCGACAAACACCCAAAACGATGCTGATGGTCCTGGAGGTACATTAGGGGGTGTTGGATTTAGCTGGGGCTAGGAGAGATATGCCTAGTCTTTAATTACTGAAAACACCACCAGTCCAGCATCTCTTTCTCCTGTCTTGTCTTCTTTCGGGTGGCATTAACTTAGAAACAAAGCCAGCCTAGTCACTGGGTACAGAAGAAAAAAAAAGATTTATAAACAACATTCTTGGGGTAGGGGCATCAATTCAAGGAAGTTGTACTCTTGCTTGTTACTATGAAAATATATGATCAAAGGCTTTGGCTTTGCTCCTAGGTTCAAGTCCCTCTCTCTTGGGACTGAGGGTGCTCAGGGGAGTGGGGATGTGTAGAGGAGGATTGGGTCTCTGGAGAGTGAACTGAAGTTTTCCAGAAGAGCCAGGGAAGCTGTAAAGATCAGACCTTTGATTGTGAGGAGAGAGAAGGAGAGAGAGAGAGAGAGAGAGAGAGAGAGAGAGAGAGAGAGAGAGAGAGAGAGAGAGAGAGAGAGAGAGAGAGAGCAGAAGGGAGGGGAAGAGGAAGAGATAGGAAGGATATGGATGGGGAAAAGACAAAATAAAATTAAGTCGAGCCTGTGGATTCAGGAGTCTCTCTCCAAGAGCTAGGAAAGTTAACGCAGTCATCTAAAACCAAGGTTCGGAAAGACCTAAGAGATCCCATGGACTCCTGAAGGAAGCGCGGCGACTGCTGAGGCGGAGGCAGTACAGGGCCCCAACTCCAGGATGCTGCCAGCGCAGAGGTCGAATGAGCTGAGCCGCACTCCCGGGCGGCTCCTTCGAGCTGGGCTGTGGCTCTGCAAGGGCACAGCCCCTAGGAGGTCGAGGCCGGGATGGGCAGTCCATGTAAGCTACCGAGTGCGTCCGTGGCTTTGCCTCCCGGGCTGGGGGGCTTTCTGTCGGTCCCTGCGGAGGAAGCACAGGAGCATCGGGTCACCTCCCAGAGCCTAAGCTGTGGAGCAGGATGCCAGCAGGTCACGGACTGGGGGACGCTCACCCCTCCGTGTCCGGTTCAGGGAACCACTCCGCAAGGCGGGCTAGTGGATCTCCTCAACAGGCCACTTCGCCAGGCATTCACTCCTGATGATTACCACAGAGGCAAGCCTTCCCCCTGTACCCTGGATGCCAGGGGTGGTGTGGAGGTCTTCAGCTCCTAAGGAGACTTCAAGACCTGGTGCTGACATTCCCAGAGCATGTCCTCCCGACCCTCACCCACTGATCCACTCCAGATCCCCGAGGGATAGACAGGATTGAGGGTGTCTGGGGGTAGGCGCGGTGCGGAAAACGCGCCACCAAACATTCTTGGGGACCTCAGACTTGAGCCAAGGTAGCGCTTTCGGGCACAGCACATCCTGGGGCCTGTGAGCCTCCGGATTAAGTGGCAGTGGGCTTGCCATATCAGATGGTATTCTGTGCATTGCTCTATTAATTTGGGTTTTGGGAAGGGGCCCAAGTTTTGCTCCTGGAAGCCAGAAAGTGACGCCACTTGTGCAACCGTATTTTCCCTTTTCCTGGAACCCGGGCGGCTGTGAAGCTTTTCCTCGCACCAGGAGGCAAAAACAAATGATCTCTAAAGGCACGCTTTCGATATTCTTTCCCTCCTCCTGCAAAAAAAGCCACTCTCTAACGCCTCAATTCCAATCCGATGAGAGGGAACTTGACTTGCCAGCGGTCCTCTTCCCAGCCTCAGGCTTTGACTGTCCTATTTCAAAGTAGCATTACACACACACACACACACACACACACACACACACACACAGACACACCAGGTTAGTGAGACATTTGAAGAGATATACAGACGGTCTAGACCAAAGCCCTCCAGGTGATACCCCACCTCTCAGCTCATTTTACTAAGCACAGTTATGACTGTACAACCAAATACCCGGACATCTTTCCATCCTATTCACACACTTCAAAAGTAAGGACCTGTTTTTAAAACATTTGAGGCGAAGGCTTCAGGCAGGAATGACAAGTGGAGAAAAATAAACACCCAGGAACCAGGAGATGGATTCCACCCCCACTTTGGGGAGATTCTCCTGTTTTCACCCATCTCAGTTCCTCCTTCTCCCCCTTTTGGGTGGGGGTCTTCTGTAGGACCCTGGGAATGGGGGTGGGGGCTACCTTTACCTGAGGAGTCACTTAGCATACTGTAATCTCTTGGAACATGACTAGGGCGGACACCTTAAAATATGGGAATTGCAAGAGCATAGCGTGGAGTGACACAGAACCAGGAGAGGCTGAGACTGCACCAAAGGAGAGGGAATAGCAAGGAGTTTCATAATTGACAAAGGCTATCTAGTCATCCATGAGAATTCTCTTTTGGTATCATCCAAGCACCAACTCTGGATTAGCAATAATCAGAACAACATTGCAAACTCTCTTTAACAAATATAAATATCAAGTTTTCTTTGTGCGAGTTTACTTCCTGGAAGCCCGAAAGTGACACTCATAAATGTGATTTTTTTAAACTCTCCACACCCCTTTTTTAAAAATCCCTCCTGGGGTCGGTTTTGGAACTTTAAGCTTTGCTTACACGTTGTAAATGCCTGTTGCCTTGAGAAGAGCTCAATGGAGTCCCTCACCTTGGGGAGGAAAGTATTAGTACAAAGACCTTTGGGTGAATATGGATGTTCTTAAAACAGCACCCCTCCTTGTGAAAAGAATAAGGCTTCCTTAGTCTTCTCTCAGTTCCAAATGATCCCTCCCAAGTTCAAGAGACGAGAAACATCAACAATCACTCCTACTTTCTTGTCTCCATAGGAAACCCAGAGTCACCACCTTTCACCAAGATAAAGTACAAACTGATACTCAGTGAGGCTCCAGGTTGAATAACCAGTAAGATGCCCATTTGCAGCTAACTGGAGAAACACTCTAGTGAATATTGTATTCTGGATACCCATTAGCTAATCAAAACAATTTGATTTTTACTGGATATATTTTATTCATAGGAATATAAACTCATATTGTCTCTGCAAAGACGATTTTGTATCAAAAAAGTTAACTAATATTAATTCTTCTGTTATACAGTAAACAAAAAGTAATGACAGTAAACTCTCATGAAACAGTTTTCTTTGAACATATGAATTGTTTAAGAAATTGTTGAAAGTAAATAGCACCGGATTATATAACTTTGCTTTGATTCTTCAAAGGCCAGCTAGGGAGCAATTCTTTTCTGACCATAAGAAGAGGGTAAATTCATACTGCAAGGGAATGTGTAGCTTTCGTGTTTCAAAAACAGGTGCTTAATGAACAATTCTTTTTACAATCATTAAGCACAAATGCTTTCCTGACAGCCTGAGAAATTATTCATTGGGATGGGTGTGAATAATTACTTTAACCAATTTTTTTAAAGGAACTGTATAGCTCAGGACATTAACTTACTAATTTAATAACCAATGTAGTTAACTTGGTTATAGGCTTTGAACACGGGGCATTTTATTGTAGGAAGCAGATATGATGGCCACAGGGGCATTCTGCCAGTGAGGTGCTCTGTATTTCTGAAAAGGGGATGTCTGATAAAGAAAATTCATCAAGAATAACCCCAAATGCAGATCCCTCCTGAGTTGACTACAGGTCTTTAGAGTTAGTGAGTGTGTGATCACTTTTGGATCCTAACCCTTGATACATCACAGGTTTTTAATGTGGGGCTGGAAGCACCCTCAGGACCAAGCGGCCCTTCTGAAAACTACTTCCTTTTGGACCTAACAAAGTCTTTAGTTTTCTTCTTCCTTTTCCTTGGGACCAACCCAGGAGAAATCACTGAAATTCTTGGCTATACGCTTTTAAGTAAGCCTTCTCTATTAAGCACTTTACACGGTGTGGCAAAGCTCATTCAAATGCCCATGCCAACAGTCCTGAGTTTCAGCATGAGGAACTGAGTGAGAAGGAACTCACCCTGAAACCCTTCAGCTGACCTTAAATGTGGGGCTATTGGGAGCTCATATTTTCAGAATTCTTTCATGGATTTTTTTCTCCAAGTGAGCAAATAATGTATCCTATTATTTAAACTAAATTCAAATAAAGTCTCAGACTCAGTCTGAGAAATGAGTGCAACCTTAATAGCCTAGGATAGGGCTATTCTAAAAAGTATTTAAGGGTTTGAGAGATGGCTCAGCAGTTAAGAGCACTGACTGCTCTTCTAGAAGACGGGGTTTCAATTAATTCCCAGCACCCACATAGCAGCTTACAACTATTTGCAACTCCAAAATCTGACACCCTCACATAGACATGCACATAAAACACCAATGCACATAAAATAAAAATAATTTTAATATATTTTAAATTTTCAAAAGCTATTTTCTTCCTTCAGTTTATTCCTGTGAATGGCACTATCTTCCTTTCTGAATCCCAGATTGTTACCTGGTCTCACCAAAACTTCTTGGAAATAGCTTCTTTGTCTGGGGACCACTATCATTTGTCTGGTTATGGGAACAACCACACCATGACTCCTTCCAGCATTGGTAGGTGTGAGACAGGTAAAGTCAGGACTAGTTCCTAACCCCAGAACACCCTTCTGACTCATTCTGTCCTTTAGTTTTTATGCAAGGTCCCTTTCTCTGCAGAAGCCAAGTCTCCCTAATTATTGGAGCAGTGAAGTTTAAATTTTCTGGTGATCAAAACCCAAATACAAGCAGGTTCATAACTGACAGATTCAAGATCAGGTGGATTATTTCTCAGTTCAGTGAAAAACAAGAGCTTCACAGACAGTGTGATTTAATCCATGTTGGCCCCATGTGTTAAATCTCTTGGTTGGCTTTTTAGAAAACAAATGTAGAAGGTGGGGGCGGGATGGGGGGGTGGGAGAAGTCTCTGAGTCCCAGCGCCCTGGAAAGAAAGAACCTGTATGCTTTCGATTTCCCCACCGAATGCACTGAAGAAAAAGAATCTAAAAAGAGACCAGGGCCAAGGTTGAAAGGGAACCAGGAAGAAACGGAAGGGCAGGAATCAGTGGGGAGTCTAGAGAAGTCGGGAGAGCCACTGGTAGGTCCAACACTACCTGTAGGATTGAAGTGCAGGACTCTCTCGTCCACTATAGAAAGTTACGCTTTGCAGGCTACACAAATGTGGACCTTTTAGACCATTTTTGGCATGGAGAACATGAACCCAGAGCGGGGCAACAACTTGACCAAGGATGCAAGAACGTCAGAGACACCTAAAGTCCTGTTAACTAGCCTAACCCTCTTGCTTTTCTCTCAATAGGTTAAAGGGGGAAGTTTAAATGAGTCGCTCACTCTCTCGGTGCCCTTTCTTAGGAGCACCTGCTAGAGATGAATGTGCCCCAATCGCCTCGCGTATCCCTCTCCTACTTTTTCCCCCAACCCCTCAGTCATTCCCCCTCGTTACTTTCTTCTGTCTCCCAAGCTCTTCTCCACACTTTCTAACCCCTCTAATAACCTGACACTTCCCAGATGGTGCCCCTCACCTTCTCGGCTGGGGTGTTTGAAGGTCATTGCCGCTGCAAGCTCCCCGCCGTGCACCGCCACACCAGCTCCGTGGGGTGCCAGCGGGGGTGCCTGGGCTGGTGGCCAGGGTGGGCCTGGGGATAGGTAGCCGGCTGCTGGAGCGCTGTATACTCCGTGCTGGTTGGAAGCCGGGTAGGCGCAGGCAGGCAGGAAGCCGCCCACTGCGGAGAGGCTGGAAGCCGACTGCAGAAAGAGACAAAGTCAGAAAACCCTCTGGCTTCTCCAGAACAGGCCACGTTGACGTGGACTCTGCTGTCCTGTCACTTGTCATTATTCTAGCACTCCCTAGCAACCTGATTTATAATCTTGATTTATAAACCTCAAGGATTTACAGAAAAGGGGGCTTCCAGACATTTTTAATCGAAAAGCAAGCCAGTCTCCTTCTCTCAAAAGCCAGGCTGCTGCAAACTAGGACCGCGGGACTTGAGGACGGCAATAGGCCGCTGGAAGACGTTTCCTGCCCAGACTGCCTGCAAAGCCTACCTGGGAGACGCTGCTGCTCTTTCTCCTCACCCTAACCTTTTCTAGGCCCACCCCTGCCAAGGTCACCTTCTGCCCTGAATTCTGCTTACCTGAGTGTATTTAATGTCCGCCTCCAATGCAGGTTTCTCGAGTCCATTCACTGCTGGCGAGGTGGGGAAGGCGGCTCGGTTCACACCCGCCCAGTCTTCCATCTTGGGGGAGTAGGCAGCGCCTTCACTCCCGGCCAGGGCCCCTGCAGGAACGCAGATGGAGTGGATATCTGTACACTCTCGTGAAGACGTCCAGCCCAGACATTTGCACAGGAGCCAATGACCCAACTAAGTGAACCCTGCCAGACATCCTCTCCCACTTCCAGAGGCTGCCACAAACTCCAAAGGCCTTCCTTTGGAGGTGGGGGGAGGTGGCAGGGCCCGGCGTTTCAAGAGCAAGGAGGAGAGGGGCCTCCCCTTCATTTCCTCCAGCCTCGGGCCCGCTTCCTACGAAAAAAGCTTAAGTACCAACGAGGCTCAACCAGAGGCAGTTCCACTGCTCAGAAGCAGCAACCAGAAAGATTCAAGTTCAAGGCAACCTCACGAAAATGTTGTAAACCTCTGGATGGCTTTTATAAGCATCCAGAAGGCTAGGAGACCATTCTGGCCCGGGTCTGCCTCTAGGGACATTCTTGGTCTCCCAAAAAAGGCACCAACTCGAAGACCTATGCCAAGATGTCTCAAACGCAGAGCTGCTCCCAGATCAGGTGCTCAGGGGAACCTTCAAAAGTGGGTGCAAACCTGGTAGCACTTCCCAACCACCTGCCTTCTGCCGCTTCATGGATAGTTTTGCTTGGTGCTATTTTGGTATAGAGCCACCCAAACGAACAGTGTGCGGGGGCCTTGGAAATGGAGCTAAGCAGTCCACTTTCCCCAGTTTGTTTCTCCGAGACTGTTTACTGTCGTCCTGGGTCTGCTTAGGTCTGCTCCTGGCTGGGAGCAGAAGGCACTGTAAGGAAGGAAACACTAGCTGCTTGGGAAAGGGAACCAATGCTTCTAGAAAACACCCACATATATGTCATCCTAGGCAGGGCATAAAAGTTGCCCGAAACCTCTAGCCTTTTCTGCGCAACAGAAATTAACAACATTTGACAGAACTTTAATGATAATCAAAGCACAAGTCCTAGTGACTGTCCCAATAGAAAATGGGGCGTCATTACCTTTATTCTAATGGCAGGACGTGAATGGCCTCTGAACCCGACAGAGGTCCAGGCCATACTTTAAAAGAAAAAGAAAAAGAAAACTAACAAACAAAACACTGACCACAGGAGTCCTTTCTCTTTTACTTAAAAGAGCTCCTGGGCCTGCACAAGCTCTTGAAGGAACCTGAAAGCTAAAGAAGGGGCTGAGCAAAATGATCCAAGCGGTTTGTTTGGCTTAGATTTGGCGATAGGCGTTTGCATTCTTTTTGCAAGAATGAAAAAGCGCAATTTCAGGCCTCCGATTTTGTGGTCTGCGCCTGCTCTTCTATTTGGGAAATATTTTCCATATTTGTCATAAAAAGTTCAAGATGTCCGAAGACTCCCACAGAAGGTTCTGGACCCCCAGCCTGTGTGACCAGTCCTGAACTTAGTTTTGAAACAAAATCAGTTCTAGAAGGAGAAGGGCATGCAACACGCTCGCTCAGCCTCCCGCCCCAAATTCTGCATTTTGTAGAGAATTATCGAAGACATCATGACTAACCTGTTTGCTCCATAAACGTCCGTATGCCCAGGATGTTGCTGACTGAATGTGCAGAGGGCCATGATCGCGGGATACTGACGTGGCCCGCCGAGCCGGGGACCCCGGGATGACTGCCCATCTTAGTGCCCGTGGGTGACACTGGACTGGGGTAGGGGTACTGGTAGATATGATTGTAGGGCAGCGCGGGCTGGGGCGGCGGCTGCTTACTTGCTTCGTATGGCCCTGGCTGCGCCAGGCTGCCAATCTTATTTCGCAGGATGCGACTGATGGAGCTCACAGAGGGCACGTTGTACTTGTCACAGACGCCGTCAGCCAGTAGCCGGTCACGGATCTCCCAGGCAAAGATGCCAGGATCGCCCTGCTTGTAGTCCCGGATATGCTTCACTACATTGGGGGTGGTGACTCGAGGTTTGCTGCCCCCAATGGCCCCGGGCAGGATGGAGCCGGTCTCGTTGTAGCGCGCCAGGATTTTGCTCACGCAGCCATGAGAGACTCGCAGTTGCCTACTGATGTCACAGGGTCGGATACCCAGCTGTGCTAGCTCCACGATGCGTAGGCGGATGGCATTGGGCAGAGGACGGCCGTTGACGAACACGCCACCAAGCTGGTTCACTTCGCCGTACGTCTGCTCTGCAAACGTGCCGGACAGGAGTGAGCAAGGGAGGGAGAAAACATCGGCGGGTTACTCAAGGATGTCCTTGGGGGTTGAGGGGACAAATGCACTGCACCCTAGCACGACTCTAAGGTAATCCGCAGGTCCACTCCAGCCTCCGGATCTGAGGGCAGAGCCGGGACATGCTGGTAAAAGTCGGGGTCAGAGACAGACATTGTGCTCTTCAGACCTTGGAGCCCTTTCGCGACTTGGGTCATGCCCTCACCTCCTCCCTGAACTTAAGGAACTGACCCCTCGATAACTGGGAGCAGCAGAGGACGTGGCTCCTGAGGACATAGAGCCGTTCTGCCCAGAAAAAGTGGATCAGGGGGAAGGAAGGGAGGTAGAGAGTCTGAACCCAGCTCCGCACCCGTCCGCACCTGACCTGAGGCTCGCCCCTTACCCATCGCGCGCGGGCCGGCCAGCTGCCTGGCGCCGGAGCGGCGGGGGCTGGGCCCGGCGCAGTCCGGGAGAGCTCGGGCGCCGCCACCGCCGGAGAGGCATAGAGGGAGGGCGCGCGCGAGCCGAGGGCCGCGGCGGCTGGAGACGCGCAGTGAGCCGCTGCCCAGCGCGCCGCCAGCCCCAGGGCCCGCCGCTGCCGCAGCCGCCGCCGCCCGCTCCCAGGACACTCTCCAGGCCCGCGACCCCAGGCCCAAGGTGAACTTCATCCGATTGGGAGAAATTCGTCTGACCGGGAAGCTGCGGGGTGCGAGAATCAATTTGACGTGTCCTCCACGTCAATCTCTACAGTCACGCCGGAGACTCACGAATTGGCAGCTCATTGGTTCCCGTCACCGCGCCCCGGCGTCCCCCTCCCCGCCCAGAAACTCTACCCCTCCTCCAGGTTCTTGGCTTCCCCCTCCGCCTTTCTCCACCCCCTCCGGAACCCTCCCCCCCCACCCCCACACACACCAGGGATACACACCATCCTAAACCTAGTTGAGCCAGATCCTGGGACCATCCAATCTCTGTTGCTTTTTGTGGCCTTTGTAACCTACTTTAGGAACCGTAAGGGAGTCATTTCAAAGTGATCATAGTTTTACAATCACCTCTACCACCATTACCCTTTGGAAGGTAGACATTGATCCTGGCAAGGCGGTTTAGCTTGTGGCTATCTCCACCACCTGCTGCTGCTCGGAGGAGAAGAGACAGGTCTGGTGGATACAGTCCCTAGGGAACCGCCAAGATGAAAGGGAAGAGGAGGTCCGGCTTGGTTGGGGCATCAGGGAAGGGTGGCGATCCACAGTGACTTATGGAGCTGACTCTCCCAGATCCCATTTCTCATCTTTGCCCATCCTGTTCTCATAACCAGAGTGCCTTTGGAGTCACACGAGGTGATTTCAATGACCCGAAAGGAGCACATTCCAGCTTCTGCCTCTAATGACAAAGCCCACCCGCTAGAACTCATTCCTCTCCAGTAAGTGACACATGGAACAAGCAGGAAAGACAGACTTGCTGCTTCCTGTCCCCAAAAATGGGGGAATCGGGGGAGGCAACAAAAAACAAAACAAAACAAAACAACCCTAATGGCTGCTGAACTCCTGTTCTGGATCCAGACTGTCTCTTTGAGATAGGCCAGGAGATCCTACCCGCACCCCACCAGCAGTCTTCCAGGAGGACTCTGCTAAATACCCCAGCGGTCTTTTCTCGCACTTTGCACAGCCTTTCAGCTCCAGCATTGAAAATCAACTCTTCTACTCCACATCAGTGCACAGTGCTGGGCCACCAAGCTGGCCTTGACAAGTGGCAACAATCCCAAAGGAAGCAATGAGAGAGAGGGTCATGTAGTTTTGCACCTGAACAGGTGCCAGCGGGGCAAGACCTGGGAGTTTCTAGGTGAGGCCAGTAGACACCAAGAACTTTGGGCTGGTCACGAAACAGCAGGAAAGAGAGCTTGGTGGAAACCCAGCCACAATTCCTGGACCTTCCAAGGAGTCCAAATACTCCTCAGAAATCAAGCAAAGGCCTCTCTTCGCCAACACACATCTCTCCATTTCCTGTTCTTCAGAGCAGCCTGGAGACTGCTCACTGTACAAGCTCAAGGCTCCAGCAGGTTGACCCTTTCAGCATAGCCTCGCAGGAAGCCCTGACCCCTTTTCTCCTTTTTCTGGGGGAGGGGAACTTTGATGGATCACGTTCAACCCATGCAAATGTATGTCAGAAGGACCTTTGCCATAAAGTCTTGGCTCTCCAGGGAAACTATATAACACCCAGTAGGCTGGGGTTGCTGGGGAGGGAACAGTGGAAAGAAAGCGGCCAGATTCGAAAGAAGAGGCATCTCTGTCTAGCAGCCCATAGCACAGTGGGACCTTAAGCTCTAAGAGTTTCGGAGAGGTCTAGGCTAGCAGTGCACCTTTGAAGGCGCCCCTAACCCCAGTGAGAACAGTAAACACACTTGGGATACCAGACCATTCAGAACAGAGCAGCCTTCCAGAAAGACCTAGTGATTTAAGGGGGGCAAGCTAGGTGTGGGAGCTTTCCGCTTTGGGTGGGGTGGGG